GGGCTCTTTCTGGCGTCATCTCGTGGTCTCGCTTCTGCGGAAGTCAAGCTTGTTTACTCATAGCTGTTCTGCAGCCTTCCTCTCTTATAGCCCCGGCCTCTAGGCACAGGTGTGCACATTTACGCATGCCCACACCCATGATCCAGGTGTCCACAATCGGGCCACGTGTGCCCCGTACATACACTCCCAAGAGCCTACAATCAAGGGTGCAGCTGACAGGTAGAGGCCAGTGGTATAAAAAGCCTGACCACTTCCATTTACCCTACTGTGCTCCAAAACCATCTTTATCAAAATGGATCAATCTTTACAGTTAGGTTAATTTTATTTCTTGAACTTAATTCATTGATATGCTGAAACGCAAGTTAAACACAAATAATTCTTCCCACCCTCCCCCCCCGGGTATTATTTTATTATAGTATGAGTGTTAATAACTTCTGCCCCCCAATTATATACTATCATTGAGACATAGGGCAAGTTAGGGTAATTAGGCACTTTTAGGGACATTGCAGGAAGGGACCTCTGAAGAGTTTAGGAAGGCTTCACAGATAAGGACAACTAGAAGAATGTAACTAATTCCACTGGGAATAATAAACATCCCAGGACCAAGGACAACAGTGTTAACGCTGGCCTTGGTTTCCCTCAGGTGATAAAGGGAGGTGGAGTTTGGGGAAACGGAGAGTGGTTTAATATATGGACAACTTAGAAGGGCAGCTGTTTAACTTCAATGCAGGGATGCCCATCCAGAGGACTGGGCCATAAAGAAAAAGATGCAACAAATGGGGAAAGAGAAAGCTGTTAGATAAGGGATGTGAAGATCCCCCTCTCAGTAGCCGATGAAGTGAGACAGCCGAGAACTAACCAATCACAAAGAGACTGGTGGAGCTTCAGAATAATGAGGGAAAGGAGGTCTATATTCCCTGAGACAAGACTCCACTTTGGCTTCCTTGCCCCTCCCTGGCCTGGTTTCATGGCCTGGGAGTCCCACTTTATTTCTGTTCCTTTTTCCTCAATAAACTTTTTCTTTCTTTAAACAAACCTGCCTTTTCTTGCTTGCTTGCCTGAGAGTCTGCGAAGTTCCTGCTGCAGCTTTGTGAGACACCAACCTGTGAGGGTCTGGTGGCTGCGGCTCAGCGCTGCACCTGCAGCCTGGGATCTGTTCCTGGCTGGGAGACTGGGCCTGACAATTCCGGTATCAATATTATCAAATTTTAGGATACAAAAGCCATCAAATATTATAGTATAGGAAATACTAAGAAAGAAACAACTTGTGAGGTTTTATAAAACCTAATTATAAAGCTTAAATTGGTTTTTTAAATTCTGTACATTTCAAGCCTGTTTTCTATCCTGACATGTATGGACAATAATAGAACTTGATGTTAGGATATTAAAATAAAAATCTTTAATAAATTCCCAATGTAAACTCATTATCCATATTTTCTAACAACAAAGGAAAAATATAACAATTTCTAAAAACACAGTTTAAAAATCTACAGTTCCTTATAATTAACCATGTTTCATATGGTGAAAACATCATGAACTTAAAATTTTTTGCAAAGTAAAAGAAAGGAACAGAATTTTTATTAAAAAAGATAGTTATTAATATTATTGGTAAGGATAAATGCCAAAGATACAACCAGAAACCTTTGACCTCAAACCAAATGTTAAATAAATTTATAAATAAATTCAAAAGTTTATCTTTCAGCAAAAAAATGAATAAAAGGTAATTTTTGGCAAGTCTAATTATATGTAAAAAGAAAATACAAAAATAAAGTACAATGAGAATGGGAATATGATAACACATACAGAGAAAGCGAACATAGTTATCCTGACAAACTTGAGATCACAAGTTAATCTCCGGAGTGTGCTTATTAAAAGTAAGCAATTCTCTTTCTCTCTTCAGACTTCACAAATCAGAATCTCTGGAGGATGACCCACAGGAAACTACATTTTAAAATGACAGTCTCTAATCCCACAGACCAAGGAATTTAAAGTGCGAGGCCACCCATTTTAGGCTAAGTGGAAATTTTTATTAGGAAAGTATTCATCACAAGAGCAAATCATGAAAGAAATGGAAAATCTGAAAAGATTTTGTGAAAATAGTGGAACACTTTTTCTAAAAATTTCTTATAAAAATCAAATTACAGGGCCTCCCCGGTGGCGCAGAGGTTGAGCGCTGGGCTGCGAAGCTGCTTGCGGCCTCTGCAGCGCCAGTTCGATCCCCGGCTGCTCCCCGGCCACCGGTAGAGGGTCCCACATGGTGCGCAGACCTCTCCTGCCTCCCGCTGCTCCCCTCTGCAGTGTACTTCGGTCCTTCTGCCTGCTCTGCTCCCCACTCTGGCTCTGGTGAATTCTTTCACCCTCCAGCGCTTCTGACTATCCACAGTGCTTGTATAAATAAATAAATAAATCTTTAAAAAAAAAAAATCAAATTACAGCCAGATAACATATAGACTGTTTTAAGAAATAGATAATTCTCCTGTGTTCTCTTTTCTAAAGCAGAAAAAATCCAGTCAGCACATTTATGTGATTTATTTTATAATGTTAACAAAGCTGAGACTAAAAATTAATCTCAAAAACATGCCAGCAGATCAGTAAGTACAATAGAAGTTAATCTCTAAATAAAGCTCAACCAAGTAAATCTAAGCAAATATGAAAAAGTCAATGTTAAATACAAAAATCAAGTCAGTCATCTCAATGACTATTTGGTTTAATTAAAGAGACCACAGATTGATCACTTTTGAAAAACTCATTAAAATATTAAATAATAAGAGAATATTGTAGTTATTATGAACATAAAATTAAACTTCAACCTGGTGCACAAATAAATTACAGGTATGTAAATGAGTATATATTTTTAAAAAACTTAGAACTCATTAAATCTACAAGAGATGAGTTATAAGCATTTTCACAAAAGTGGAAAAGAACAGATGTAAAGAATAAAGACAAAGAATAAAACATAGGGAAAAATGATAAATCACATCATATAAAGAAAGACTGCTGTACAAAAAAATATTGCAAATGTTTGCAATACATAACAAAGTGAGTTAAAACATAACATATATTCACAGTTAATAACCTAAATTTACAAATACCAAACAATAACATTTTCAAGATCACTGAACATCAACAAAGGAAAATGATTAGTTTTACACAAAAGAGGACAAAGAAACATATAAAACCATATTGCTTCATGAAATAAAAATGGACATTCCGACAATGATTATTAATTTAACAAATTTTATAACAGTATTTTACATAATGAAAGGAAAATAAATTATGTTTTCAGAAGAAGTTACAGGCATTTCTCTGAAGTATTTTGGCATTGTGCGCACACACACACACACAAAAACACAACCAAAAAGTCCATATTCTTTGACCCAGTAGTACCATAGCTAAAGACACAATTGAAAAAAGTTTAAGCACAAAAAAGTGTTCATGTAGGGTTATGGCTAATAGGGGAAAATGAATCAAATTATAAGTCTGGTAGTACAGGAATCATTTTGAAGAGTATATGAATGAAATGGAATAGTATGCAACCTTTTAAAATATGTTTATTAACATTTTATGGTCAGGTGGGATTTCTGGCTTAACATCTTTGGGAGTTCTGTGGACATGCTCCCAGCAAAAACTGATAAATATCTAGTGAAGTCTCTGGAAATGATCCTAAAGATACATAGTTGAAAAAATTATTCAGGAAAATCTACTAGAATTTTGCAACAGCTGAAAAAGTCCCTGGCATTTGAACTGTTCCCTATCATTTCTGTCCATCCCAGTGAGATAGAGACTGTTTCAGACAGATAAAGCCAAGAACACAGGGTTTCCTCTTGTAGGGTAAGGAAAAATGTCAGGTTTTTCTGCCCTCCCGCCATTAGGATAGATGATGGATCCTTGAAGTCCTGAATGCATGCCTGATGGCATACACCTGGAGTAGGGTGTGGGCATAGGTAGATGGGATTCACCTGGGCTGAGACTGGGATTTTTTTAAGGGCGGCGTCATGGAAACGCCAGCAGAAGACAAGAATGAACAGAAGTCGAAGAGAAGCCAAGAGAGAAGCAGAAGCTGAGAGAAGGCCGGAGAACCCAGATAAGAGTGAAGACCTCATGGGGGCTGGGAGGCCTGCCAGCCTCCCGGCCCCCCAGCACCCCTACCTGCCGTGTACCGGGTAAATCCCAATAAAAAGACCTGCAAAAAGCCAATAAGGACTCTGACTCCTCCTTTACCCGGTCTGCATGGGATCAGAAAACCTGCACTGTGTCCATTCCTGTTCCTACACCTCTCTTCCCAGTTCTTAGTCAGAGAGATTGTCCTCCTAGGATGAACAGACATTCATGTTTCTCATCCTGTCCCCAGCTATCTTTTTTAAGTTCTAGGTAAGTGGCCAAATGCAGAGCTCCCACAGACCAATTGATCTTACTTCAATTCATTAGGTGATGATACCATCCCAAGGGGGCAAGTCAAGATATGACTCTACTGCCCATTCCCCACCTCCATCCCCACTGAGTATTCAGTTCCTAAAATAAAAGTGATGAAAGAGAAGCACACCATTGTCTCCACTCCCAGCTAGAGTCCTGGTTCAGACATGATGCCTGGCAGAAGCAAACAAACCAGGGGAAGATGGCTAAAAAGAGCTAGAAATCTGTCTGGAGTCAGATTTCAAACCCTGATCTCATGAACAACTGCTTAAAAGGACAGGAAATATATTTGGACTAGTCTGCGGAGTATATAGGCCCCAGAGAATTGTTTAAAAAGCAATAAAGCAATCAGTCAGAAATTAATGGAGCCCAGGGGGGCTTGGTGTAGTCAGGGACTCTCTTTAATTCATTTTCATTTTTGAAAGATAGCTTAGTTGTCTATAGGATCTTGGTTGAAATCTTCTTCCCTTTGAGCACTTAAATCATTGCCATGTTGCATTCTAACCCCCATTGTTTCTCATTAGAAGTCATCTACTAATCTTATTGAGGTTACTGCTAAGTGATGAGTCGTTTTCTCTTGACGCTTTTCACATTTTCTCCTGCAGTTGACTTTTGGTGTTTCTACTATTAGGTGTCTATGGAAAAAGAAAATGGAGAGAATCTGTTTCCAGTAGACCTACCTTACAAGAAATACTAAATTAAGTTCTTCTAGCTTCATGTGACTCCAGATAATTTAAATCCACATGAAAAATAAACAGTGCTAGTTAAAGGTAATCATGTAATTATATAAGACAGTATGATTACCTGTTTTCTCACTTAACTTAAAAGCAATTTTATAAAAACAATCTGGGTGAATGAGTGGATTAAGAAGATTATCAAATATGTGATAGTTGAAAATGGTTGATACAGTATTAAAATGGGATACAGGGCCTCTCCTGGTGGCGCAGTGGTTGCACGCTGGGCTGTGAAGCTACCCACAGCCTCTGCTGCACCAGTTCGATCCCCGGCCACTGGCGAGGGTCCCACATGGTGAGACAGACCTCTTCTGCCGCCCGCTGCTCCCCTCAGCAGTGTGTTTCATCAGTCTGCCTGTTCTGTTCCCCGCTCTGGCTCTGGTGAATTCTCTCACCCTCCCACGCTTCTGACTGTACCCAGCGCTTGGATAAATAAATAAATAAATAAAATCTTAAAAAAAAATGGGATACATATATAAATTATTACAACTGTATAAATCTGTACACATACAGAGATAAATAAAAAGGTAGTGATATAAATATAGATGATATAGATAAAATAATTCTAAATTTAGTCACTAAAGAAAGGGAGGAGAAATGTCAAAATATCAAAAATGATCTACTTTAGTGGCAGATTTAATGAGTCATCTCTATTCAGTTAGCTTTGTTGCAATTTCTTTATTGTCTTCAAAATTATTTATTTTTAATAGAAAAATATTATTTTTTAAATCTTCTAGAATTCTAATTCAGCCTTGGAATTAGTGGAAGGAGATCTATAGCTCTTATTACAGAACTCAAACTATTGTCCTAATGAATATACTTCCCTGAGAGTAGAGGCACCATGCTAATATGTTGGTAGATATATGGATATCAGCAGGCTACTAAAATGTAATTGAATTTCTTTCTATGAGACTCAAGTACATGTCACCCATCAAAATATATAGTACAAAGTGATAAAAGCCAATGGAGCAAATTTAATGGTCTATGAATTTTTTTGTCAAACTAAAGAACATTCCATGTAAATTGAAAAGAAGTTTCTGCAAGATGTACACATTCATATTGTAATTTTTACAGTACAAACAGCATTAGCACAAGATTATGACCTCTTGGGTTGCATCCTAGTTCAACAACTTTCTAATTGTTATGTTCTCAGTGCTTTATAGCCTCACTAAATGGTGATAAAAATATCACCTACTTTATATGCTTATTATATGTCAGCATTTGTAAAGTGCATAGAATAGTGCCTGGCACTATTGGAGAATAAGAAAATTATATAAAAATGCAAACATAGATCACATCTTAATGTCACTTATTCCAAATGCCAATCAGCAATCACACCAAACAGAAGATTACTAACTGCCCCAGATAGACACAATGCAAAGTCATAGAGACAGAAAATGGCATAGAAGCTTATGCCCCACATGTGTGTAATCCTTGGCTTAGCCCTTTCCTAAGAGCCATTTTCACATCCTTGTTTCTTAAGGTATAGATCAAAGGATTCAGTGACGGGGTAACAATATTATTCAACACCTGAACCACAGAATCCAGCCAAGGGCTGGAGGCAGGTCGGAGATAAATGAGGACCACCGGTCCATAAAAGAGCAGGATGGAAGTCAGGTGGGCGCTACAGGTTGAGAAGGCTCTGCGCCTGCCTTCTGCAGAGCTGATTTTCAATATAGAGATAACAATGCGAGTATAAGACGTGAGGATTAGAAGAAAGCACAGTAGCGCGACGATACCTACATTGGTGAAACTCACCATGTGAGCTAGCGAGGTGTCTGCACAAGCCAAGGGCAGCACCACTGGGATATCACAGAAGAAATTGTCCACCTCGTTCGGGCCACAGTAGGGTAACTTAAAGATGAGGAAGGTGAGGACAGAGGCATGCAGACAGCTCCCCATCCAGGTGCCCAGGGTCATGGTGGCACACACTCGGGGGTTCATGATGAGCGTGTATTGCAAGGGGTGACAGATGGCCGCAAAGCGGTCGTAGGCCATCACAGTGTACAGGAAACATTCAGTGCATCCCAAGAAGTGGTAAAAGAAGAGCTGGGAAGCACAGCCCTGGTAAGAGATGGTCCGGCTTTGCCCCATGAGGCAAAGCATCATTTTGGGGGAACTCACTGAGGGGAACAAAATGTCAAACACTGACAGGTTTCCCAGGAAAAAATACATGGGTGTGTGGAGGTTAGAGGAAGTGAGGATGGCCAGAAGAATAAGAAGGTTTCCCAGAAGAGTGAGCAGGTAGAAGGCCAGAAATAAGACAAAGAGCACATTTTCCAGCCCTTGTGTGTGAGGGATTCCCATCAGGAGGAACTCGGTTACTGGAGTGTAATTCCTCATCTTCGTGTCTAGTTAGTCCTGGAACATCAAAGAATGGCCTCATCAAAATGAGCTTCCCCCACCCCAAGTGTCTTTATAGGACTCACTGGGAACTGATAATACTATATATATTTTATATGTATTATATTTTATATGTGATAACCTTTATATGTATACTTCATATGTACTATAAAAAACTTCTAGAGAGGAATCAGACCAATATTGTCACTGATAAAGTGACAGTAAGTAATTTAATTAATTTTTATGTTTCCTAGAAAATAAAGAGGAAACACAGAACAGGGGGAAGAGAATAACCCTTACAGCTGGAGACTTCTGAGTTGAAATGTTAAATCTGCTCCCCAATGTATGACTGTGGACAACTTTAGAAAAATCTCTAGCTTTCTTCTGTATTGATATATATAATGTAATAATGCCTTCCGGTTCTTGTTGAGAATTAATGTTTATATATATATATATCCCTATTATAATGCCTTTTCCTACCCACCCTTGTTAAAAATTTCATTCAAGTTGCTAATATCCTGATTTTAATGAGCTTTTCATTTGCACAATATTTCTCTTAGGTTCACTAGCAGCTGTTCTGGAATTATCTATTGATGTGAGTGATTTTGTGAAATTGCCTTTCTCCATCATTAGCCCAAAAAATGGAGAATAACGTATGATCCAGCAATTCCACTCCTAGGTATTTAACCAAAGGATGCAGAAACATTAATTCAAAAGGGCACCTGCACCCCTATGTTTATTGCAGCATTATTTACAATAGCTAAGCTTTGGAAACAGCCCAAATGCCCCAAAACAGATGACTGGATCAAGAAGATGTGGTACATATACACAATGGTCAGCAATCAAAAAAGATAAACTCATGCAATTTGCAGCAACTAGATGGAGCTGGAAGGGATCATACTCAGAGAAATAAGCCAGAAAGCAAAAGAAAAATACCGGATGGTCTCACTCATAGCAGGAATTTAGAAAACCTAAATAAGGGACCAGGAAAAAAACCTAACTATAATAAAGTAAAAATCAAAATCAACAAACAACTATAAACCAGAGACACACTATAGGGGGTTGGGGGTGGAGAAGAGAGTAGGATCAGAACAAGGGGGGGGTGGGAATTGTATGGGGACTATAACCAAGGTGAAAATGCACACATTGTGCAAAAATGAAAAATGATGCAAAAATGTATAAAATTAAAAAAAAAACTGGGAATAGTGTATTGGGGATGCAGAAAAGGAAAAGATAATATTAAATGTAAGAAAAAGAAATGGACAATTACCAATATTCAAAACAACCTTTTTCAGTATGAAATTTAGTATCTCAATAGCAATTCCATCTGTAATATGACTGAATATATGTAGTCACCATCCCATGTTTTGAATTAAATTTCATCACTAGGGAATATCTTAAGAAAATACCATAGAGTCACTGTAGGGTAAGTGAAAAAGTATCAGGCTTTTCCACCCACTCGCCATTAGTGTTGATGGATCCTTGCAGTCCTGCATGCATGCCTGATGGCAGACACTTGGAGTGGGGTGTGGGCATGCATAGGTGGACACACCTGGGCTGAGACTGGTTTATAAGGGCGGCGTCACAGAGATGCCAGGAGAGAGAGAGAGAGAGAGAGAGAGTAGGAGAGAGTACAAGACCACGAGAGGACGCCGGAGAGCCCAGAAAGAGTGAAGATTCACCGGGGGCTAGGACTGGCTGACCTAGCCAGCCTCCTGGCCCCCATCCCCCGCCCCCAGCACTCCGGCCTACCATGTACCTGGTAAAAACCCAATAAAACCCTGGAAAAGCCACTAAGGGCTCCAGGACTCTCCTTTACCCTTCTGCTCAGATCACAGAGATCCTGCTCTGTGTCCTCCTGGCACTACAGTCACCTAAGTCAGCATTAGTCCAAACTCAGACAAGCCCATTTCCACATTCTTCACGCCTTCTTCTAGTGCATACATAACACTTCAGAAGATGAAGAAAACATAGTGTTTAGAAAGAAGGCACTTACAGACCATGGAAGGGTAACAGGCAACTTGAGCTGAAAATCAGACCCTACATCCACCCCAGCTGTTCCCTTTGCCTTTAGATATGAAATAGGAGGGCTGGGTTCTGAGGCCAGCCAAGCTGGAAGAAGAGCCTCTTTCTTTATACTCAGTCACTTGGGCTTGAAAACTAAGACACAACAACTGTGCCTCTGGTCCAAGAAGGTGCACCAATCATTCCCTCAGGAGAGAATACATGTCTTGGGGTTCCTAAGGGACCCTGTTCCCTAGGGGGCACTAACTCCAAAGTCTATGCAACAGAGGGAGCAATTAGAAGATTTTTCTCTCTTCCCTCCTGTAGAGTAAATGAAGTTATCAGGCTTTTTTCCGCCTTCCTGCCGCTAGTGTGGATGCCCTGGGCCTATAGGCATGGGCCCAGGGCAGGCACCCCAGGATTGTAGACATCTGGCCCTAGTAAGCATGGATGTGCACATGTGTGAATGCTCATGCCTGTGCCTACAGGGGATGGAAAAATGCAGGGGCAGCATTATGGCTACAGGAGGACAACTCTGCGATGAGACCACAAGATCACATGAAACTAAGAACACCAGAGAGAGGCCAGAGAAAGAGCGCAAAGATTCATTGGGGGGCTTGGGGACTCAGTTCCCTGCCTGTCTCTCAGTTGAAGAAAGAATTGGGGAATAAGAAAGTAACTACTTAAAGAAACAACAATCCCGTCTGGAGTTAAAATGACAAAACACACCTGCAACTGTTTTGTCTTTAACTAGCTTTATATCCCCCATGATCACATTCACAATCCCCGAATCCACAGCATTTTCTAAAAGCTCTTCCTTTTCCATTAACACTGCCCTTAAAGTTCATGTTAGCATTTGTCATGGTTCCATTTATATTTTTAAGAACTCAATCTGCTCAATGCTGACTATGTAGAGAATGGATCAGAGTAGACATGGGTAGAATTAACTAGGGTTGTGAGCTCATCGTTGTTACTGGCCATCCAGAGAAACAAGCACAAAGACCTGGCACAACTATATGGCTAAAACTGTTTTGAGATATTAAAAAAAGTCACAAAAAATGACAACTGTAATAAGGCCAAAGTAATTTTACAACCTTCTAATAATCATTATCCGTCATGTCAAGGAATTCAGAAGAGACTTCAATTTCCATGGTTTTAAAACTGCAGTTACTGCTTACTGAGAATATTTTTTAATCAAATGATTCAATGCCCCTTTATTTCATCCTTGTATCAATCCATCCCATGAGCTAGAGGTTATTTTCTTTTTAAAGATAAAAACAAGGTACTCACTTCAGTAGCTCATATACTAAAATAGAACAACATAGAAATTAACATGGCTCCTGTGGAAGGACAAAACTCAAATTTGTGAAGCATTTCATGGAAGGAAAGGACAAGAAGGAGGGAAGGTATAGGAAGAGAGTAGGTTCAAAAAGTTCAATTACCAAAGTTTACTCCAAAAATCAGTCATAGAGTTTAGATTTGAATTTCTGTCTGCATTTAAAAATGAATTCTTACAAATGGAATATTTTGTCTTCAAAAAGCAAATGTTAGTCATATAATTTTCTATATTAGACCATCTCCTCATAAAACCTTTGAATATAAGTAATCCCAATAATTAATTCTTCAAAGGTCTATATCTCATAATTTGTATCCCCAATACTCATTAAAACACACACATTCTTGGGTCTCCCCTGGTGGCGCAGTGGTTGAGCGCTGGGCTGTGAACCTGCCGGCAGCCTCTGCAGCGCCAGTTAGATCCCCGACCACCGGAGGAGGGTCCCACAGGGTGCGCAGACCTCTCCTGCCTTGCCCGCTGCTCCCCTCAGCAGTGTACTTCGGTCCTTCTGCCTGTTCTGCTCCCTGCTCTGGCTCTGGTGAATTCTCTCACCCTCCCACGCTTCTGACTGTACTCAGTGCTTGTATAAATAAATAAATAAATCTTTAAAAAAACACACACGCACATTCTTTAGGAAAAGATAAATATCGTAGTGAGCTTCTATATATACCATCTCATTTCATCTTCCAGAAGTGCTGATCTTGACAAAATCTCTAGAGTCCTAAGGTAACAACATGATGATGTAAAACTGTGTCATTCTTTATATTGTTAGCTCTAAACATTCCATATCATTAATTCAACAGATATCTTGCAAATATTCATTTGCCACCTCACCAAGTTAAATCAATTACACAGCAAATTTTAAAGGATATATATATGATTTATATATGAATTGTGAATGTTATTTATATGGCATATATGAATATTAATGTATAAATTTGCAAAGAAAAATAAAACACCATATTCACTAGAATGCATGTGTTAGTGCATTGCTTTTAGTAAAGTTCCTTTCACATCCAAAGTAAAATACTCTCACAAGGCTATTAGTGTACAATTAAAATAGAGTGAACCAAATGATTATAACCAAGTCTCTCCTGCTACAACAACTTGACACAATTTACTCAGTGTAATTGTTAAACTGAGTTAAATGTCCTTGGACGCTGATATTTCTTCTCCCCTGGACACAAGAGATATACTATCCATTTGTTTAACAAGCACTTCCTTTTTATTTTTCAACAGATTTATCAATGTATAAATTACATTTCATAAAATTTAACAGTTCTAGGTGCACAATTTAGTGATTTATAATAAATTTCTAAAGTTGTGAAAATATTTTCATAATTCAGAAAATTTTCATCACCCCCAAAATTTTCCTGGGACTGATGTACATCAATTTCCACTCCTATTCACTCCTATTCCTCTTTTGCTAAATTTTCAAATTTCTTTCCTTCTTCAGCCTTGGTGCTTTCATTTAAGCTTAGGTTTTCACAGCCCCTCTATTTTTATTCAACATCTTTATCACAATTATGTGCTGAGTATTTGTTTCCCATCTGCCTTCTCCTGTACGTTTTATATTCTATAAGGAGAGAAGTCATGTATATCTTATTCACTACACTTTGGCTAGCACCTTGTAAATACATAAGTAATAAACAGCCAATAG